GATGCGTTCACACGCATGCCGGTCACGTCGCACTCGGCTGCGAACCTTTCTAAGGAGCACTGGAGATTAGATACAAAAATTGGTGTATCTTATTGCTCCCAAACACGTTGTTGGCTTAATCGCTGAAGTTTGCTATTGGTAGTTCTTCTCATGCCGCACCATGCTGAAGATCAGACTAACAAGATTTCACTCTTAAAAGGCCATATTAAGGTTCTGAAGATGACCGTAATGCATCGTTTCTTTTCCTGTTTTTCTTACGCGGAAGCTAGCCATTGTCACGTGTTATTTTCAACGGCTCAGCCAACCGTTTAAAGCGTTAAGGCGGAAAACACAATGCTCGAAATGACTTCAGGAATTCCATCGTTGAATTCATGCACTACTCAGGACATATGGCTGGTGATAACTTGCCACACCCCTTTATGCAACACATCACGGCGTTGCTTCATCCCTGTCTAGTTTGTATGATGAGGTCGATGTCCAGTCGAAACCTGAGACATTGTACGGCGATATCTGTTTATGAGTGAACCGATGTTTCTATCTCTCAATGTTCAAAAGGAGTCCGTTTTCTTCCCTACGTTCCAGACTGTGCACTGTCATCTTAGAGATTAAAGAGGACTCGATTTTTAATTGATTTGTTTAATCATAGTTCAGAACACCAAACATATGGTAGAAATTTTGGCCATCCGTTATCCACAGTTCGACCAATAGCCCATTCTCTAAGCCAGCTAATATTATGCGGAGTGTATTCTGCATTGTACTTTGAGTGGCACTGGAACATGAACCTTAGTGTTTTATTTCGTGAACCTCTTGCGCTACGAGTTGTATCTTCCTACTGCATTTTCTGAAGTCACTGGCCAGCCTGATTAACTTTCACGTCTACTTCTAGCCCTATCAGAAAAATATTTCTAATAGGGGCTAAATTCTATGTATAGATCACTGGAAAAACGACTCTGTTAGTCTAACGATCTGAAACGATTTGAAACTGTGTGTTGTCAGCACTGGTTGTCAGCAATCCATCATCATATGTGCGTAATCGACGTCGGATCGTGGCACCAATCAGAAGAGTGTTCTCTTGCCGTCGCGTTGACGAACCAGCAGCCGAGACCTTGGTGCTGTAGAAAAATGCATGTCTTTTGATTTGCTGTTGATTTTTAGCCTGAGACAAAGCGCGGTAAAGCAGCTACGTTGCTCCAATGTGAGCAGATGCCTGCCTGTGAATAATAAGCCTTCGTTGGCTTTCATGGAAGATAACTCATTTTCTGGCCGGCTGAACAGGGGCAGCCGTTTTCTAGTCACTGTGTGAATATGACCACCAGTCAGGATTTTATGATTATCTGCCAAAACCTTGTTGGGTGAACGTTTCGGTGTGAGGAGACGTTTACGGCTACCGTTGCTTCTGCTAAAAGGGAACGAGTCCTACCGTACATCAAGCTGCTGTCGTTGAGCAGTCACTTCGATCGTTGTTTTCTCCCTACTATAAGAACATGAGAATAGTTTTTAAAGAGTTTATAGCTAATCCAATCGTAGTGTATTTCTCTACTTAATAGCTATTTTCAGATCTCGCTACTTGCGACTGACCGTCCAATTCGAAGTATCGATTTGAAACTGATTCGCATAGAGTCGGTCGCGAACAAAGGGGAGCTAAGCAACGACGTTTCTGACGTGCTGACACTCCAGATCGGTTTCGGAGCCGTTCCTTTGAACTTACCGATACCGATATTTATGTATTTCCCTCGTTTATTTACTTGCCCTTCGTTGGAGACTCCAAATTTTTGTATTAATTTTGAATTGAGTATAATATTTTCTTTCGCCGATGGAGCTGATTTGATTTTTGAAAATTTTCCTCTGAGGTTATACAACAAGTGATGCTGTGAAACAATAAAATTTTCGTATTGTTAGATGCATAAATGTTGATTATGTTGTTCATTTCTGTCCCTGAATTATTACTACACTTGAATCGTACATTCCTTAATCAACAGGGTTTCATGGCTGAACAATGATCGACGACTCTACGAAAAAGACGTTAAGTAATATACCGCTTCTGAAGACGAAAGCCGGGCCACGGGATCAAGAACTTTGGCTCCAACGACTGAAGGAAGAGTACCAGGCGTTGATCAAAGTAATCACACGTATGATGTTGTGTCTGTGTGGGTTTGTATTTGGGAGCTGGATGGTTTAGTGATGAGGAGCACAGGTGAGCACTTTCCCTTAAATTCCTGTTGCGATCGAAAAATTCAAATTCGGTTATGGTTATGGACTGAGGTTGTGTAGTGCATTCCAGAGCTAATACCTGAATATTTTTGTGGAAGCGACAATATTTCTATGAGGTAGAGAGTAAGATGTTTTTCCATTGTCTGAGAGTTTCAAAGTTCAGAAGGTCATAAAAGTATTGGAAAAAGAAGGATAGTTCTTTAACTTTAAAAGTTGTTACATATCCAAATTTTTATTGATGGAACCTAGTGTGACTCGATGATATTCGTTTCAGTTAATTACTGGAATTTAATTTTCTTGGACTCCACCGTCGAAAACGCAGTAAATGAATACATTGTTTATTTTATAAACGCGTCATTACTGTGTTTGCAAGTCTGTTTCAGTCTACACAAATTCAATTAGCGTATGCTATTAACGATAAGTAAAGATTTCGACGTTTACGCTATCGATACAACGATTACGTTCAGCATTATGATTCCACGTTTTACACTGCTTAATTCTACACGTGGACTCGTATACGATGTGCTATTTTTTACTTATATACAGTACTACATATACTTTTATAAACTAAACGGTTTTATATATATATTTTAGTACATCGAAAACAACAAAGCGTCCGATACTGATTGGTTTCGGTTGGAGAGCAATAAAGATGGCACGCGATGGTTTGGCAAATGCTGGTATTATCATGAGCTGCTTAAGTACGAATTTGACGTCGAGTTCGAGGTTAGCTTTGCCATCGCAAAACAAGTGAATGATCCGCGCTTTTTTGGTTTGTTCAGATCCCTGTGATGTATCCAGTCATAGCTCCGGAGATAGCGATCCCTGAGCTCGACGGGAAAACTGCGAAGATGTACAGGTGTGGTTTGATTAATCAGTCAATCGCCATTTCAAGCTTGATGTTAATTGGATTTTCATGGTGATTGCAGGGGAGGAAAAATTTGTCTATCCGATCATTTCAAACCTCTGTGGGCGAGGAACGTACCGAAATTCGGCATTGCGCACGCCTTTGCTTTAGGCGTAAGTGTTTTCTTTTGAAAGCATAACCTCGATTAGGTTCATTTCACAGCTTGGTCCATGGCTAGCGGTCGAAATTCCGGACCTTGTTGCAAAGAATCTGATTTCCGTCAAGGACAGCAACAAAGAATGATTAGAAGCGCTGAACACATGAATAGCCGTTTTCATAATAAACTCGGGGATGGCTTTTGGGTCATATTTTAACACGTTCGTTTTTTACCACTGTGTTATATGGCAAACATAAAAGTTTATTAATTATTTATGTTATTTAGTCTGTCTAAGGAGTTGAGCACAGCGTGCTTGAAATTGATTTGCGCAATTTTTGTTTTTCTGAGTCAAGTGAGTTCACTTCCTGATGTCCGTAGACCATCCTCCCTTTGGATCTTCTTTCGATGTAGTTCGACTTATGGCTTTCTTGGAAGAGGATAGGCAGCAATATATACGCCATTTGTGTATGCCATTTTCCATTGTATAAAATTTCTGACATGTGAGTTATTTCTTCCCTTTTTGCTGTGATCGTGATGCTTAACATCAGGAACATCTTCTTAACCCCTCTTATTCAACGAAGGCCGATGGGAGTTCTGCTGTAACAGGATATACCATCGAAAAATGGATTTCATCAGTCAGTTGTTTTACGTCTGTCATGCTCAGCGACTGACCATTTTTCAGCGGTCGTTCGCCATGACAGAATTTATCTCGATATAAACATGAAGGGTGTTAGCGAAAACACTATGAAGATTATAATCATAAACCTATGCATAATAAAACTCTTTTACCCTGCTGATACTAGCGTTCTGATGACATGGGTACCGTAATACCTCTATCAAGCACTGTTCTGGCATAAAGGTAGTTCGTTTAGAAGCGTAGTGACATCCGCTGAAATTGACAAGATACTAGAGCTTCATAAAGCACGTATGACGAATCGTTTTAGTGCCTTTTTAGCAAAGAGGATGGTATTGGTCAGGATGTCTTCTACCTTGCTGTTCGCAGTACTGGTAGGTCTTATGTAAAGGATTTGCTAAAATCCATCTCGCAGGTGCACAATCTACGTATTATTGACTCTACTAGAGTTGCCTCAAACATTTTTTTGTATTATCCTAACTGTTTCAGTATACTCCATTGCATCCTGATAAGGGTGCCAGTCTAAAGAATTGAATACGTTTTTAACGTTTTTCCTTTTTCTGTTTATCCTGTGATATCGTTTAACGACATGGCATTCACCTTGATATAAATTTGATTAATCTGCTTGCCAGCATGGCCATAAGTTCAAAAATTGGCAAGTCAGGTAAAGGTCGTGATCATATGATACGAGTGCGTAGGCAAAATCCATCACAAGATGGCTTTAGTAATTGATCCCCTTAGGCGTCCATGTTTGTCTTTACATTAAAGCTGACCGGTTTCGGCTGACCGCCACTGGTGAACATCTGATTACCGCAGCAAGTGCATGCGAACAAATGACGCTTGAATATTCAACATGCTGACCAGTCATGTGTTACCCATGATGCATGTTCTGTCGCTTTCTCTATCCATATTTAAAAAACAACTCTTCTCTCCTTATTCTTACATTTCAGCAGTTCACCAAATTGACGAAGCGTGAAAATGGCCGATAGCAATTTTAACAATTGACTTGCAATCTAGCTGAGTTTACGAGTAAACACACGTTCATGAAAACGTCCTCTATATATGAACTTGCCAGCGGCCGTTTTGGTGACAGTGTATTGATGTGTTTCATTATTACTAGCGTTTAATTGGGCTAGAGGTAAATCATATCAAATTCCAGTTTGCAATCGAGAAGACGAATTGACTGGATAAACTGTTTAGTGCATAAAAACTAGATCTGGTAAAAACCCAGATAACTCTGTGGAATTGCAGTTGGTGGCAGTGATGATAACCACAGGTTAAGCAGATGTGGCTAATTCATTTTGGAACTCTTTTATTACTGCCGCTGCAGGTTCAAGCACGTATAGGTAGAGTCAGAGGCAGGCTGATATGTGGAACTCGACCAGAACGAAATGCCTCCATTCAGTTCTTCATTCAGAGTAAGTGAACTTCTCGACAAGTTGGTAAAGTCTGTTACATCTCTTTCAAACGACCGGCCCTTATGTAGATAACTGTCGGATGCAGCTGGTGGACCGCACGTTAACCAGACGATCTGGCGAGTTCCGGTTTAATTTGAAGAACTACTTCCCTGGTAATCAACCATCGTACCTTAACATACAGTTCTACTGTAATAATCAGGGTGTAAGTAATCGCTTTGAATACTTTCTGCTTGAATCGATGCAACGTTGTTTTGATTCAGGGTACTGGCAACTCCTGGATATTGTTTTTACCGGATTTGCCAGATCAACGATGGTATAACGTAGGAGAGCTAAATCTCGAAGTTGCACCTCTGGCATCATCCGTACCATGGGACAATCAGAATTGCAACATTTAAACGAAATGAATGTCATCTGAAATGAAGAAGAAAAACGTTGCTATTTTTGTTACATCGGTTTTCGTAAATTAATGCATTCTTTTTAAGTGACCATTATTTTATTTTTATTTCAGCTATGAATATTTCAATAAATTAATCAGTAGGTGCATACTCTGACTGTTTGCACTACGATGGTGAAAGTTTCATTTATTTTTACAAATGTTGTCAGTTTTTCGAAGTAATGTTGTTGCTGTTACGCTAAGTGTCCGCCATCAGGCTCAGCTATTTTTTCTTCCATCATTTGTACCGGTACACTGCCAGTACAAAGAGAGCTTTGTCATCAGATGTGACAGTGTCCCACCTGGTGCCATTCCAGGGATCAGGCTGGACCTAAGTGTAGTGGAAGTAATATCGCTGGTGAACATCTCGGTCGCTCTTCTTTCAGAACAGTTGAGCTGGATGATCTTGCAATGGTCTCAGATTGTGGCGTTGGACATATGGACGATAAATCAGGCGAATGATATAGTTCGTAAACACCAATGCTCAAGGATTCCAGTTTCTTCACGCCTTCAGTTCTTATGGCCTTGCTGTCATATCCATAATGAAGGAGGATAGGGTGCAATCTGCAGAACTCTTCTGTGCCTTTCGAATGAATGTTGATATGCTGTACAGGTTTCGGTAACGATTGGATGGTAATGTTGAATTTCTCTTTCCTGCTGTCGATTCAGTGTTGCTTCGATTTTCTTTCTGTTTAATTCACAGGTCCTAATTTTCAGCTCAAAGTTGAGATGGCGTGGTGGAAGATTCCATCGTTCTTCCATTTTGAGTGAATACGAACAATGCGTTGGCTCCAAATCCTTCCGTTTGAGGGGATTCTTAAAGTAGCCGTTTCATAAGGAAAACTGCCTACAAGCAGATTGTGCTCTGTGCCTAGCGACACGTTGTTGTTTCTCTATAGACGCAAAGAGTTCTCTCAACTGATCACTGGGGCAAATTACGTGTTTTCACGGCCCGTGCCGAAGAGGCCTGGAATTGTGCATTTCTCCATCATGTAATCCCTTCCTTCTTTGGGCCATTGTCCGCTCTACGCAAAGGGGCGGATGATGGAGAGCGATCGATAAATATACGGCAAACGCTTCGATCTAACCGGATATGACAGTGGTGTATCGTCGGCCTATCATGCCATCGTTAATGCTGTGATGTACGTGGTGAAAATTCCATAACAGCTTCAATTTTTCTTATTAACGTTTGTTCCTTTTGAAAAAAAGTTTCCCATCTTCAAAACTATTTAATTTAGATTATTTTAATTGTTTGACAGTTACGCCACTGAACATTTCAGTTAATGTAGCAAACTGGCGTATGTCTCGCAGAAATGTTAACAGCTTTCTTACGTGTATACAGTCTGTCATACTTTCAGCATTGAAGGAAGTCATGGGCTTTGAACTGCTCATTGTTTTTGATTGCCTTGATGAACATTTGCTATGTACTCTTCATTGGTTCGTACTTCCACTTCTAGCGCTAGGCTCACGCGCCTCGGCTGAGTCCGCGATTCAGGTCTCTGAGTAAACCATGGTATGCGGTCAGTCTGATAGGTCACAGCTGTGATGTTTGTGGCACGTTTTTCGAATGCATTCGGAAAGAAACGCGAAACGGCGATTGCTTGCTCAGGTGGCCATTCTAAGACCCTGGAGTTTCTCAACGGACTCTGTTCCAGACTCGCTTCATGGTCTTCCGATGCTCAGTCGCTGTCGCAGGGTCTGGAGCGTTGGAGATACTATTTGACGTTTGCTTCTAACTACCACTGAGTATCTGTAGATGAAGAATCGATAGCTTTGCTGTGTAAACTTCCGGGGTGATCTGCCTTGCGGCTAATTTTGGGTTTAGATGTCGGCGAACGATGTCGTCGTTGAACAATCGATCATGCCAAAGCAATTACTTTTCAGTAAAGCATTAATTACGTTTATGTTGACTTTCCGTTGTAACTAGTCTGCTATAGCTACACAGTACAATACGATGAGGTCCACTAAACTTTTATCATTTGTGAAAGTATCTGCAACGTCAAAGCTGACTGATGACAACATCGTAGATAATAGAGAAGAGCAGGTTGTAAGATCTGTTGTAAGAAGCATACGACATTTCATTAAAACCGATTCTGTCTTAAACCGTGCTTCCAGGCATCAATCTAATGAGGCTGTAGATTTTGAGAATATTTGTGGCTGTGCATGAACTGAAACACATACTTGATACAAATAACTTTCTGGCCAGCGGATGCCGGAACAAGAAAGAGCTGATTGCTTGAAACAAGCCTTCCTATTCTTCCTAATTGGCAGAGTTACATTTCAGTCATTAGTATATTCAGGTTGTTTACGACAATCCTTCTCTTCATCTGCTTCAAATAGTGCTTTAGATGAGGCTTTTCACTGCCACGCTTATATTGTAGTATTGGGCGATTATCGTAAGGTTAGCTGGTCCTAGTTTGCGTGCTACTGCCGCTAGTTTGAGCAGTAAAGTTTTCAATTGATTTTTGATTGAAAATTGGATTTAGCTGAATGTTGAATGAGAGGCAGGGGGGTGATTCCACTTTCATCAGCATAATTATAGAGCGGTTTCCTTGTGCATATGACTTCCAGAAATTTCCAGAGAAGAAAGCAAGAATAAAGATGAGAACAGTACCAAACCTTGCAAAAGCATAGATGATAATTGAAGCGAAATTCCTTCTT